CGCTGGAACGCGTCTGACCTCTGACAAACGCACTCTGAACTTCAGATCGTCAGCGCGCTGTTAATAGCCTGAATGGGAATCATTTCTTGTTATTTAGTTACATCCACAATGTCCTGTGTGTGAGGTTTACAACGTCAGAACACCTGCATGAGACAGTTGTTAATTACAATCTGCCAGAATGACTCAACACCTTCAGATTTCTCCAACACCGTTAAAAATGATCAAATACAGAACATATCGGCGTGCGCAGGCCAGAGTGCTGAAGCTCGGCGCATTGTTATTATGAAGCTAGGGCACATGTGGAGGACACGGGAGCGCGCAAAAATATACTTGTTTTCAATTACATTTATTGGGCCCACTTACTTTTTCTTTGGCCCACCCACAAATGAGTTTCTACGCTAATGGTGACATATGACAGACTTCTCTGAGCTCCCCAGCCATTACACTTTTCACCTCGCGCACCCCCTAGCGGCAGCTCGCGCACCCCCAGGGGTGCGCGCACCACACTTTGGGAATCCCTGCTGTAGACCATCTACCTCAAAGTTCTACATGTTGTGTATTCAGAGATACTCTTCAGAATATCTTGGTTGTAACGAGAGGTTATTTGAGTTACTGTTGTTTTTCCATCAGCTCGAACCAGTCTGGCCATTCTCCTCTGACCTCTGACCTTATCAAGGCATTTTCACCCACAGAACTGCTGCTCACTGGATGTTTTCCCTTTTTTGGACCAGTCTCTGCAAACCCTAGGGATGGCTGTGTGTGACAATCCCAGAAGACCAGCAGTTTCTGAAATACTCAGACCAGCACGTCTTGCAGCAACAACCATGCCACGTTCAAAGTCACTTGAATCACCTTTGTTCCCTGTTCTGAAACTTGGTTTGAACTGCAGTGGATCGTCTTGACCATGTCAACATGCCTAAATGCATTGAGTTGCCACCATGTGATTGGCTGATTAGTAATTTTTGTTACCGAGCAGTTGGACAGGTGTACACAATAAAGTGGCCAGTGAGTGTATTTCAAAAGTTTATTTCTTTTAATTTCGATGATTATAACGGACAACTAATGAAAATCCCAAAAATGTCAGAAAATCAAAATATAAATTAAGACGAATGCAAGAAAAGGAACTTAAGAAATGCTGGTCAACTGAAATTTTAATTTGGGCTTCTTTGGCCAGGATTACTGCAGCAATGCGGCGTGGCATGGAGTCAATCAGTCTGTGGCACTGCTCAGGTGTTATGAGAGCCCATGTTGCTCTGATTGTAGCATTCAGCTCTTCTGAATTGTTGGTCTGGTGTAAAGCATCTTCCTCTGGCAGTTGGGGTCCCATGATTCGAAAGTTGATGGACGTGGCTTAGGCTCCCTATGGGATGCCATTCCAAAGCAAGATGGGATCACCAGACTGGTGACCATTATGAGGAGGAGGGGCTTGCGAATAAGGTGCAGTAATTGTGGATGTGTTTTTCACTAAATAATGCTGAAAAAGTTCTATCATCCAATCCACAAAGAGCAGGAGTGAACAGTATTTATAGTAGGAGATTGCAGGGTATTATGGGACATTTTTAGGTGCACTACCAACTAGGGATGGGTACCTTTGACATTTGAATCGATCCGGTACTAATTCCCGGTACCTACGAGTCGATACCGGTACTTAACGGTACCAATTTTCGATACTTTTGAGTGTTTATTATTTTAATTCTCTTTTATAATTAAATATATATTTTTCTCAATATATAACCATATATGATAAATATCACGATAAATAACATACAAGTTTGTATTTTAACATCGTCCTTGTAGTTTTATAAGCTGATAATTAAACTGAATCAAACATCTTTACTGTGAACTAAATTTACTGTGTATCTTCATTCCTTTTGCCGTCCTTTTTCATTTGATTTTTCCTACTGGGAAGTTAGAATTTCCGAGGAGAAAGCGAACGCACCATTAGCTGGTAACAACGGTGGCAATGGAAGCTAACATATCAAGTTAACGTTATCTTAAACAGTGTATTTAGCTGCTGGAGCAGATTAAAACGATGATGCCTCAAACTTAGATCGTTGTCGCTGGTTTTACCTTCACCCATTCACCCGTCGCATTTAGTAAAGTAAAGCCAAACTTTAGAGCGCGTTCATGTTCTTCTAGTCGGAAATTCGGAGTTCCGAGGAGAAAGCGAACGCACCATAGCGAAACGGAAGCTAACAAATCAAGGTAACGTTATCTTAAACATTTTATTTACCTACTGGAGCAGATTAAGATGAGGATGTCTCACTTAGATCGTTGTCTGTCGCTAGTTTCATCACCCAGTTACCCATCACATTTAGTGAAGTGGACCCAAGCTTTAGCGTGCGTTCTTTCTACCATGCTTGCTCTGTTTACAACGGGCTCGCAGGGACCGGCGACATAACGCTCTTGCGCATGCGCAACTGTCTTGGCAGTACCGAAACGAGGCACCGTTTGAAATGACGTGAATCGGTGTTCGGTCGGTACTATGGAATTCGGTCGGTACCTTAAAAAGTACCGAATTCGGTACTCATCCCTACTACCAACATGTTTATCTGTGTTGTTACTTCCATCAATTCACAATATTTACAAGTAATTCTAATTCCTCATAGTAAAGACAACCAATGAGACTATCTACTGATATAAACATCACCATTTTTAATGAAAAGATAATATGAAATAATAACACTTTACAATAAGGGTTCCTTTAATAACTTTACTTAGTGCATTATTAAGCATTAATAAACTATTCTGCACGAATATCAAACTGTCTCTTTGACATATCAAAATGGATGAAATCCCACCATCTTCAACTCAACCTCTCTAAAACTGAACTACTTGTCATCCCAGCAAAACCATCCATACAGCACAATATCTCAATCCAAAATGACTTCCTATTTCTGGCTCCTTCAAAGGCAGTTCGAAATCTGGGTGTTGTGATTGATGAACACCTGAGCTTTAAAGAACATGTTGCCTCTGTTGCTCGTTCATGCCGCTTTGCGCTGTATAACATACGAAAGATCAGACCATACCTAACACAACATGCCACCCAGCTCCTGAATCTACTGTCATCTCCCGCCTCGATTACTGCAATGCCCTTCTAACTGGTCTTCCAGCCTGTACTGTGAGACTTCTTCAAATGGTCCAGAATGCAGCGGTGCATCTGGTCTTCAATCAGCCAAAAAGGGCACACGTCACCCCTCTGTTCATTGAGCTCCAATGGCTACCGCTAGCTGCACGCATCAAATTCAAATTGCTAACATTAGCATACAAAGTCCGAGATGGTATGGCTCCCATCTACCCAAATCCTCTTGCTTACGTCCCGGCCCGGCCGCTCCGGTCATCACGGGATCGTCGGCTAGCAGTGCCTACACCACGCTCAGGACAATCCAGACTTTTCTCATGGATCATTCCACCTACCAAGCACTACCAGAACTGCGGCTTCCTTTTCAATTTTCAAGAAACTCCTGAAGACCCTGCTCTTCAGAGAGCATCTTCTTAACTAGCACCTTGCCTGCACCCGTCCCCCCTCTCTACTGTTCACTCATTGTTCCCTACTCTCCATGACTGATATCAATGTTGTTGTTTTTATTGTTGTTGTTAGCCTCAAGGGCAATATGCCGATTATCACTTGCAAGTCGCTTTGGACAAACACGTCTGCTAAATACAAATATAAACATTAAATAAAGTATACAACTGCTTAATACTAATGTTAAGGGTAAATAATGCACTACTAAGCAGACTCCCCTCTTGGGCCCTTTGTCCTAACCAGACACTTAATAGTTAACAATTCGGCAATATTAATAAAGGGACCTTTCGGGTATTAATGCTTAATAATTCATTAAGTAAAGTTAAGAAAAGAAACTTTATTGTTAAGTGTTACCGAAATAATTTGCAAACCCCTAAAGAATTGATTTACAATGATACATATTGTCATTAAAGTGTGACGCAAAAGTGTAAAAAGGTTTAATAGCCTAGAAATATTCCATCTGTGGCAGATTTATAAAATATTAATAATTAATTTTTTATCAAAATGAGGGAAAAGCAACTCAGATACCACCTTAACTCAGATCTGTGCAGACCTTTGACCCCTTTACCCCATGTGCTGCTTTTAAATAAAAACAACACACTGTGTGTGAGCAGCATGAAGACTTTGGAGTGAAATTTAGTGTTTGTGTTCCTGGTGGTGCATGTGACTACGGCAAACACTTTATCTTAAGGCAATATGTTTATAAATACTACATCCTGTGTGATTTTTCAAAATAAAAACCTTTTGAATCACACTGGATTTTATTAAACAATTATACATCTTTAAGATGAAGAAATAAAACAGATTTTGCATAAATCCATATCAATAAAATACCTCAATAGTCAAGTACTCAATTATTAGTTTGGATGTCATTTCTAAGGTCCAGCAGCTAAAACCTTCCTCAGCAGCATAACTAAATTGTTCTTGCCTTTACCTTATCAGTCTATCACATGGTTCTGAGGAGTTCTGGTCCACTCTTTTTTTCAACATTTCTACAGTTCTTTGAGTTTTGCAGATATTCTGTGTTGTGTGGGTCCACCCACCGCATTCCATTCAGGTTCTGGGCTGAACTTTGGACTGTTGCAATGAAAATGGCAATTTGTCTAGTTCAGATCTGCTTTGTTTGAGTTTGTTGTTCAGTTTCATGACTTAGTTCCATCTTCAGCTGTCAGACACATCATATGATCTCACATTAGACCCGACAAACACCTTGGTATCCTGGTGAGTCCATGGTGCTCATTGCAGTCTGTAGAGCCAGCTCAAAATATCAAATTATCAACCAGAAAGCTGAGATCAGCTGCTTGTGCTTCTAAATGGTATTGTTTTTTCCCCTAAAGCATTGCAGTGGTTTGGATTTACCTTACTGAGACCAGTAAGACATTTTTTATCATGTCCTGATAAACCATAGACCTTTTACTGACGCTTTATTTTGTTTATAATATAACTTGTTAACATACAATCAATAAGCTTAGTGGTTAAAACACCAATTTTCCCACATTACCACTTACTTTTTTTTGTCACATCACCACTTACTGATTTTTACTTTGAAGGCTAACGTATGTCATTTCCGGTGCCTTGATTGTTAGTTCCGGTTAGCTTGACTCAGCTGGGGTGACGTCTGCGTCCCCAGTTAAAAATACGGGTGGTCCGGTTCCTTCACTCAATGAGACGCCTTCCGCGCCCTCCAAACGGACAAACCGAACTCCCAGGTGTTCATTCAAACTCTAAAGCCAGGACCGGACCCAGTCCTCCTGCTGCTAACGGGACCCTCTGGTGATAGAAGGGGGGAGTTTCTCACGGAACTACGCAGATACCATCCCGTCGCAGCGTCACCGATTACGGTCACGGCGGTGGTTCCGACTCGGATTTTGATGTTTAATTTGGGTCTTGCAGCAAAAACGGGCACCATGGAGTTTCGGTGGATCCTGTCCCGGTGCTCCGACACCGTGAGGTAACCACAACGGCACTGAAGTGCCTCAGCCGCAACCTGTTGCTGGTTCCCGGTGACGCAGAGAGGATGAGCGGCGCCGCCTGTCTGCCGCCTCCGCTGCTGTTTCTCCTGCTGCTGGGCGGCCGCGCTGCCTTCACTGTCTGCAGGTCCCTGAACGCACCGTGGGATGGAGGAGTCCTGCATCAGGACCAGGTGGACGAAGCAGTGACAGGTAACGGTTTCCGGTACCGGTGAGAGGGAGCTGCTCACACTGAGATAGCTCACAGGACATTTTTAACACAAAAAACATTTAAGCTATAAAAAATAAAAGATTTAATTGTATTGATAAGTAAATACTGATAAACGGGGAAGTGTTATAAAAGACACTTTAATCATTTTAAATATAAAAATGTAACTTTTTTATACATGTATATATCTTTTTCTAAACAAAAGTTATTTTCTGATTTTTCTTAGCTTGGTAAAATAGTAAATAAAATAAGTGGTTTATTAAATTGTTACGTAAACATAAACGGAAATAAAGCAACATAAACCTTAGTAATAGAATTTAAAGAACTGGAAGTTTTTATTTTATTAGAAGGCTGGAAACTCTGCTAAAATCTCATCAGGATTTAAACACTTAAAGCAGGTAATGGAGGAGGAGGATGGAGGTAAGATCATCTCCATGTCTGTGTCTTCAGGTGTGGACAGGAGACATTCCTTCCTGGAGAAAACCCATCCCTTCATCCTGGTGGACGGACAGAGACGGAGCCTGGCTGAAGCTTTTCAGGTCAGAACAACAAAAAGTTCTGGTTCTAAGTGGCTGTTTTTAACTAGTTCTGGTTGTTTTGAACGGTCCTGCAGGTTGGTTCTGGTGTTCCACTGGTCTTGATCTGGGTGTTTTGAGATTAAATTTAGAAACTAATGTATTTTCCCAGTCCAAAATAAGTTGTACCACAAAAAAATAACATAAAATGAAAACTAATAATTGGCCAAAATTTGATTTTCTTTCCTCATCAGCTGCAGAATTTCCTCTAATTGATGACAGATTAATATTTAGGTTGCTAAAAACATTTTAACTGAAGCAGATTAGTTCCTCTACCTGTTGCCATGGTGACCCAATGAGAGTATTTTTGTGGTGTTGATGTGAGAAGCTGATTCCTAGGCTGTGTCCAGGTTCTGGTTTCTGTCTGATTTCAAACAAAAATATTTTAGTTCAGAGTTTCTTTGGTTGTCTTAACATGGTCTAATCACCATGATTCTGGAAAATCCTAAATCTGATGGAACGATCTGAGTGAAATCAACCTGGAGGATAATTATGAATTAATTTTTCATGGAATTCTGCCCTCAACTCACTTCATTTGTGAGAATTCAGTAGAAGTGTGAGGGACTTATTTTAGTTTTTATCACAAAGCGTGACGACGGACACGCTGGATTTGGAAGAGCTAAGTTTATTCTGGATGAGGATTTTCAATTTCCTCCTGGATCCCAGACAGAAGTGATGACGGTTTCTGAGCAGCAGCAGAGAGGAAGCTGGACAGTTTCACCGGTACCTTCCTGTAGGAACCACCACAGGAAGACGGGCACTTCCTGTGCAGCTGACAGAAACTCTGAGATCATTTTCTGTAGACCCCCCCCCCCCCCCCCCCCCACACACACACACACACACACACACACACACACACACACAGACACACACAAACCTCCCCTCCACCCAACGAGGAGGAAACAGCGAGTCCAGGAGGAGAAAGTGGAAGAGCCTCAAAAGGTTGACTGTGTTGGACTCGACCAAAAACCTGGAGGACACATCTGCATGTAGGAGAAGGGACCGGTTCTGGTTTTAAGCACCAGGATGTAACTTTTATACATATTTTATATGAGCTGAAACTCTTCAGTCGGGCTCGGAGTCAGGTTCGGTTGACCAAACGGGAACGTTGAAAAGTGGGAAAGACTCAAACTGGAGCAGATTTTCATGAGCATCACAAGTGAAGCTCCTCCTCAGTGTTTCTCTCCCCTGAAGTAAAGTCATAAACACGACTCAGCCAGCTACCTCCACCCTGTCGGCTGTTCTGAACCCCACCCTGAATGTCTGCAGCTCTGATGTCATCTAAACTTGGGCAAGAGACATGACCTCATTGAAAGAGAGAGAGGAACACCGTAAGGCAGGATGACATCATCTCATTAGTTCTAGATTTAGAGCCGTTCACAAGCGAGCTCCCAAACACACCTTTAGGTTCTTACAGATGCAGGCCAGATGTTTCAGTCAGTTACACACATTCAGAGGTTAGGATTAGCTACAGTCAGGTCCATAAATATTGGGACATCGACACAATGCTAACATTTTTGGCTCTATACACCACCACAATGTATGTCAAATGAAACGAACAAGATGTGCTTTAACTGCAGACAGTCAGCTTTTATTTGAGGTATTTACATCCAAATCAGGTGAACGGTGTAGGAATTACAACAGTTTGCATATGTGCCTCCCACTTGTTAAGGGACCAAAAGTAATGGGACAGAATAAGAACCATAAATCAAACTTATACATTTCAATACTTGGTTGCAAATCCTTTCCAGTCAATTACAGCCTGAAGTCTGGAACACATAAACATCACCAGACGTTGGGTTTCATCCCTGGTGATGCTCTGCCAGGCCTCTACTGCAACAGTCATCGGTTTCTGCTTGTTCCTGGGACATTTTCCCCTCAGTTTTGTCTTCAGCAAGTGAAATGCATGCTCAATCAGATTCAGGTCAGGTGACTGACTTGGCCATTGCAAAACAGTCCACTTCTTTCCCTTCAAAAACTCTTTGGTTGTTTTTGCAGTATGCTTTGGGTCATTGTCCATCTGCACTGTGAAGCGCCGTCCAATGAGTTCTGAGGCATTTGGCTGAATATGAGCAGATAATATTGTCCGAAACACTTCAGAATCCATTGTGCTGCTTTTGTCAGCAGTCACATCATCAATAAATACAAGAGAACCAGTTCCACTGGCAGCCATACATGCCCACACCATGACACTTCCAGCACCATGCTTCACTGATGAGGTGGTATGTTTAGGATCATGAGCAGTTCCTTTCCGTCTCCATACACTTCTCTTCCCATCACTCTGGTACAAGTTGATCTTGGTCTCATCTGCCCATAGGATGTTGCTCCAGAACTGTGAAGGCTTTTTTAGATGTTGTTTGGCAAACTAATCTGGCCTTCCTGTTTTTGGGGCTCACCAATGGTTTACATCTTGTGGTGAACCCTCTGTATTCACACTGGTGGAGTCTTCTCTTGATTGTTGACTTTGACACAGATATACCTACCTCCTGGAGAGTGTTCTTGATCTGGCCAGCTGTTGTGAGGGTGCTTTCTTCACCAGGGAAAGGATTCTTTGGTCATCCACCACAGTTGTTTTCTGTGGTCTTCCGGGTCTTTTGGTGTTGCTGAGCTCACCGGTGCGTTCCTTCTTTTTGAGAATGCTCCATACTGTTGTTTTGGCCATGCCAAATGTTTTTGCTATATCTTTGATAGGTTTCTTTTGTTTTTTCAGCCTAATGATGGCTTGCTTCACCGATAGTGACAGCTCTTTGGATCTCATCTTGACAGTTGACAGCAACAGATTCCAAATGCAAATAGCACACTTGAAATGAACTCTGGACTAGGGCTGCAACTAACGATTATTTTCATAATCGATTAATCTGTCGATTATTTTTTCTGATTAATTGGTTTGTTATTGTTTAGCTATTTAACCTATACAAGTGATGAATACATTTCAGTTAAGAAAAAGAAAAACATAAGAGAATTGTGCAGTTGACTGCAATCTATTTTATTGCACATGAACACAGTCAGCGGTGTAAAATGAGCTAAACAGTGCAAAATATCAGTCCAGAATAATTTTTTGGCATCAAAATATAAGAGGTAAATTCCATAAAAAATAATGTAGAATCTAGAATAGAGTTTGTAAGTGGTATGCATTGCTGAGGGGTGAATGTCTTGTTCCCCATGTAGTTGTCCATCGTTGCTTGTTTTTTCTGCATGAGAAACACAATTAGACTGAAATAAGTACACATATAAAATAAAGCAGCACACACACTACAACTCTAAATCAATATTACATTATTTGAATTAATTAACAATATACAGTGATCATTTATTTTGACAAAAATGTGTTGTGAGGCGTTTTACAGCGTTAGACAGTAAAACAGCCTTTTAATCTTACTACCAATCAATCAATCAATCAATCAAAGCTTTATTTATAAAGCGCCTTCCGCAACCCTGTCAGGAAGCCCAAAGCGCTGAACATGGTACAGTTGTAAGTAATTATACTGAATAAATCAACAATAAAATAAATTCAAATTACAAAATACAAAATACAAAATGGAAATAACAAAATAGATGAAACATTCCGGTAAAATACAAATGTGTGAAACACAATTGGATTGAGTGGATGGATTGAGTGTACCAATGAAAACTGTGGAATGGATTCAACATAATAGAGGGCCATAATCAAACATGTTCTGGAAACGCCAAGCGGAGGAGGTGTGATTTTAGGTGATTCTTAAAGACTGGCAGAGAAGGGGACAGCCTAACTGAGGGTGGCAACTGGTTCCAGAGTAACGGTGCTAGGACTGAGAAAGCCCGGTCCCCACGGGTACGACACCTAGACCGAGGGACAGCGAGCAGGCCTTGGTCAGAGGAGCGCAGAGCGCGTGATGGGGAATGTCTATTTAGGAGTGTGGCCAGATAGGGGGGAGCACCACCCTGGAAGAAATGATAAACAAAGACGAGTATTTTGAATTGTGAGTGATAGGAAATCGGAAGCCAGTGCAGGGAGGCCAGAACTGGACTGATGTGGTCCCGTTTCCTGGTCCCAGTCAGGAACCTGGCAGCGCTGTTCTGCACAACCTGTAGGCGACGCAGTGTTGACTGACACAACCCTGCATAGAGAGAGTTGCAGTAGTCAAGCCGAGAAATTACAAAGGCATGCAGTACCCGCTCCAGGTGGACTCTCGACAGCATATGCTTGATTTTAGCAAGGCGTCTCAGGTGAAAGAAACTGGACCGGATCACAGAATTGATGTGAGCATCAAATTTAAGTCCTACATCAAGTTTCACCCCCAAACTGGTAACAACTGGTTTTGAGTATGGAGAAAGAGGGCCAAGATCAGCATAACGATCCACATTCCTGCTGTTGGGGTGAAAAACAATGAGCTCTGTCTTTCCCTCATTCAGATGTAGATAGTTGGACTTTAGCCAAGACTTCACCTCATTAACACAGGAGACAAAGGACTGAATAGAGTGACCTTTCTCCTGACACAATGGAGAGTAAATCTGGCAATCGTCAGCATACAGATGGAATGATAGGCCATGTTTACGAAAGATTGACCCCAGAGGTAGCAGATAAATGGCAAACAAAAGAGGACCAAGGATCGACCCCTGCGGGACCCCCCACCGGAGCCCCTCCCAAGAAGAAAAAACATCACCCAGTTTAACGCAGAATGTCCTGTTTTGGAGATACGATCTAAACCAGTCCAGAGCTGACCCTTTGATCCCAACCCATCGTTCCAAGCGATCGAGTAGAATCGAGTGGTCAACTGTGTCGAAGGCTGCTGTCAGGTCTAATAACAGAAGCAGCACAGATGTTCCCTGATCTAGTGATAGATAGATGTCATTTAGGACCCTCAGTAGAGCAGACTCTGTGCTATGGCCAGACCTGAACCCTGATTGGAAAACCTCAAACAGATCAGAGTCAGCTAAATGTGAGACCAGCTGCTGATAAACGACTTTCTCAAGCAGTTTAGATGTAAAGGGCAGGGTAGAAATAAGCCTGTAATTTTCTATCACAGAGACATCAGCACCAGGTTTCTTCAGGGTCGGCCGAATAACTGCTGCTTTCAAAGCAGCTGGAACCACACCTGTGCTGAGGCTCCCATTGATAATCTGACCAAGTGAAGGGCCAAGGCACGGAAAGGCAGCCTTCCAGAGACGAGGCGGCAGAACATCAAGTGGAGAGCCAGATGGCTTCTGCCTCGCAACTAGCTTACTCAGCTCAGGGTATGAAACTGTATTGAGGGAGCTCAGGGTGGGTGGTAATGGAGGAACTGGAACAGGGTCAACAGAGTTACCAGAAATAGCTGCTCTAATGCCCGACACTTTATCAACAAAGAATTTGTGAAAAGCTTCAGAGTTTCCAGCAGCTGTAAGAGACATGGTGCTAGGCTCCTGATACACCAGAACTGAGTTTAGCGTTTTGAAGAGAATCTTAGGATTATTGGAGTTTGTCTCAATGATGTCTGCAAAATAGGCCATTCTGGCGGCCCTCACTGCATCCTGATAAGCAACCAGAGATGCTCTGAACAACTCACGCGAGACCTGTAGGCCATCCTTTTTCCACTTTCTCTCAGAGGATCTACACGCCCGCCTACAAGCCCGTGTGACATCAGAGAGCCATGGCTCCCTCCTAGGCCGAGACTTGCAAAGCTTGAGAGGGGCAACCACGTCCAGGACCTGATTACAAAGTACATCAAAGTGTTGTGAATAGTGATCAACGTTAGATGGATACCAACTCTGTTTATTTAGTGGATGATGTGCTGTTTACCCTTGGGACGTTGTGGATCGGTGGTCAGAGTACTTCAAAGACCTCCAGTGAGGAAGGAGAGTCCGAGAACTTTATGTTGGGCTCTCTGATCTCTGGGGCTGAGGTCACTGAGATGGTCATAAAACTCCTTGGTGGCAAGGCTCCAAGGGTGGGTGAGATTCACTCAGAGTTCCTAAAGGTTCTGGAAGTGTGATCTCCAGCTCTCACTGGTCACTGGAGGGGCTCAGAGTAAACCTTCTGCTCCTCCATGTCGAGAGCAACCAGTTGAGGTGGCTCGGACATCTAGTTAGGATTCGTCCTGTACGCCTACCTGGTAAGGTTTTTTTTATGTCCAACTGCGTGTAGATCTAAAGGAAGACCCAGGATATGCTGGAGGAACTATGTGTCTCGGCTGGCCAGGGAGCACCTTGGGGTTCCACGGAGGAGCTGGCCCAGGTGGCTGGAGATCGGGAAGTATGGGCCTCCTGCTCAGGCTACTGTCCTCGTGACCAACCCTGAATACGCGGACGAAAATGGATGGATGGTCTCCAAAGTTTTGTTAACCAAGCCCTCACAACTCATTTTGGTTTTTAACTTTATTTTGAAAGACACTCAAACTTGAGGCCAGATTTTCAAATTAATCAGCTGATTCTCCTTACCAGACGGTTTAAACCTAAAAACAAAATCTTTGTCCAGTTCTTGCCTGTCAAACTTTCTACCAGCTCATTTTTTAGATAGTTTATCTGTCCTGACTGCTTGGTTCTGGTTCTGATAAGTTAGTTTGTCCACATCTGACCGACCAATCAGAGGTGAGAACATCTGCTGGATGTCAGTTCCTCTTCAGAGTCAGAGGGAATATGACTCAGCCCCCACACACACACACACACACTCACACACACACACACACTCACACACACACACCCTGCTTTGTGATGATACGACCCCACCCCTCCCCCCGCTCCAGAGTGCAGCCAGGGTGTAGAAAACAAATACGCCTCGGAGTGGAATTCTTCTCCACCCCTTAGCTGTTTTTCATATCAGACTCTGAAGTCAGTTCATGCTGGTGATTCTGGACCAGACTTCCTGTTTCTGACTCATCTCTCCATTTAATGAACAAATAAACATGAGAACAGCCTCATCAGCTGGGTGTTGATGTCAGAGTGTCAGGTAAGCTAAAGGCTTCTCACTCCTTCATTTCCTGTGGACCTGAGAGGAGAAAGCGAGGAGCTGCTAGACAGGAAGTGTCTTACTCTTCAAAGAGCAGAACCATGAATGAACAGGAAGTCACGTTGATTGGACAACGGATGCACTTGGTCCCACCCATATCCTTAAGGATCAGAAAGGAGGAAGTGGTGTGGTTCTGTCTAAACCCCTGGTCCAGCCTCACAGTTCTGGAGGTCTGAGGGAGTTGATCTTTGGTCTTCAGCTTATTTTTATTCCATAACCTTCACCTGTACATTTTTTACCCCGCTGACCTTTGACCATTCAGACAGAAATATGCTCCTAACTAAAGGGATGAGCAGGGGGATACAGAATGAGTTTTAAACAGGATTTTTGGTTCCGGCAACCCAAGCCTCTGTCTGGCTCTGGGTCATTATTCATATCTAAGAAAACACCAAAGAGAACTCAGTCTGAACAGAACCAGGGTTTTAGCTACAATCAGCTGATTCTTTATGTAGAGCGAGTTCTGAATGACCAGAAGAAACAAATCCACCCAGAACCAGAACCTGCTTTATGTTAAAACTCCTGATTCCTGATTTATCTTTAACGTTTTTATAGATCTGTAACTTGTGTAATGTTCAGTTCTAGCTGATCTTTATTTTTCTGTTTCTTTGTTCTCAGGACGGTCACCCTGACAAGCTGCTTTGTGGGCTGGAGGTGGGAGGACGTGTCCTCCTGCTGGATCTGGAGAAGAACCAGTGAGTTCCGTTTTAGATCCAGTTAGCCCATAAAACGCTCTGATTCTAAAACACTCTTGCTTTCGTGTTTGCAGCGACCTGCTGCCCAAACCTCCCAACGTTTACTTCTACCTTCCAAATGGAACCGGAGTGTCTGTGACGACCGACCCTGTGGTGAGTCAGTGAACACACCACGGTCCATGTGGGGGGTTTTGTAACACAGCTGAGATGGATGTCGTTTGTGTCCTCAGACTCACTGTTATTATCACGGCAGCGTGAAAGGATTCCCACAGTCCAGAGTGGCACTGAGTTCCTGCTCCGGACTCCGGTCAGTGACCCCTGACCCCTGTTCACAGACAGGCTGGTTTATTAAATCACATTATTTTATTAATACCAACAAAGTTGAAACTCCCCTGTTCTGTTCCTTCTTTAGGTTTAGAATCTCAATAATTATTAACAAGTGTCTCTTCATTTCTTAAGGACATGACGTCGTCTTTAGGCTCATCTTAGTTTAATATTCAGAATTCCTAACTAAAAACCCTCACTGGGGACGTCCTGATCCAGGTTGGTTTGTCCCAGAATTTCATCCCAAAAATTTAGGATTCATTATCTGATTCAGTTTTTAATCCGATATTTAACTCATTCACTGCCAATGACGACTAAAGTCGCCATTTGCATCTTTTTACTGTGTGAGCATCAGAACGAGACCCCGCACCGCGAGAACAAACAGCTCTAAAGCCGATCTCCGTACGCGTACGTCACATGTCACGTGATCAGGAAGCAGAAAATCCATGTGTTAGGAGATCGTTTGGGACCGCTGCTGTAAAAAAAGTGAGGAGCGAACCGGAAAAGCTTCTGCTGATCACAATTCGACAACTGATTATGAAAGAACGGATAAAGCTCGAAACATGCGGATGCTTCCTCATGTAAGAGCTGAGTCTCCTCATTGTTTTGGTAGTTTTTGCGTCGACATCATCCTAGTGCGCAACGTTCTGTGACTCTTAAAAAACCCCGTAAAAACAGTGAGAAACACTGGCAGCGAAGGGCTTTACCGATCAGGAAACGCTGGCAGCGAATGAGTTAATGATTTAGATTTTTAGTTCTTCAGAAGTGGCTGAACGCAGCTCTAGGTGCTGTCCTGATGAACGCATCGGTTTGAGTTCTGTTACTTCAATCATGAATGAATATTCTGAATGAAACCATCAGAGTTTGTGTCCCAGTTTGGTCACAAAAAGGCTGAGACAAGCAAACAGGAGGTCGCTGTTGTTTCCCAGCATTGATCTTGTTCTAACTAAAAACGCTGAATCTGCAAAACACTGCTGACGAAGCGGTAAAATCACCCCGGAGTGGGCAGAGACGGCTCCTCGCTGCTGAACCGGGGACTTTTCTGTCCTCATTTAAATACAGAGAAAATGCAGGATTGAAGGGAGTCGGATCGCTGACGGCTCGGTGTGCAGAGTCTCAGTTCGCTGATCCACAAACATTTAAACCTTTTACATATTCAGAGGAAAATGTGATTCCATCTGCAGCAAAGGGCAAAGAAGAACCTGAAACCTCAGAATCAGGTTGGTTCAGAGTCCAGGATTTACAGAACCAGTTCTGTTTGCAGCAGAACGTGAGTGACGACATCTGTGTCCCTCTGCAGGTTAATCAGAGCCGCCTCTGACCTGCAGCAGGATTAGTGGATTTATTTGGATTCTGGGATTTCTGAGGTTAGAGGATCAACCAGCAGCGTTCTGAAACTCTGCACACAGAAAACACTGTTATCGATGTAATTTACAGTTTCCAGCTCTTAGATCTGATCATTCAGATCAACCAGAAACAACAGAAAGCAAAAACCCTGGCATAGATAAAAAAAACTCTTTCAGCAATAAAGAGTCTGGTTTAATTATTTTATCTACTCCAAGATCTGACGCCATTTCCCTTTGAAATCACTGATGTTGGAAAAAATTTTTTTTTTTACATCTTTAACTTTTGTTGAACTTTCCTGCAGCCTGAGATGCATAAATGAATACATGAAAAACAAAGAATCAAGTTGAGGAAAACCAAAAAAAAAAAAATCAGTTTTTTTAATTCCATGCTATCGTTCTTTTTTAATGTTCAGATGTTTTTTGACGTGAACATCGTTCTGTCCTGTGAGTAAATGTAGAATGGGTCTGATCAGGAATTTGCAGCAGCTGTGTCTTCTCGCTCCAGTGCTGCCGCGTCACTAGTCTCCCTGTCCCCCGTGGCTGTGCGCTCACTGCCACAATTAAACAAATTCCAGCTTACCATCCAGCGATCACATGTGGTTAGAGCAGGGCAAGCAAGCCAGGGGGATAGAGCAGAATTTGCCCTAACCATCAAGGGTGCCACAGAGAGAACTGCCCCCCCCCCCCACCGCTTAACTTTGGAGAGGAGAACGTTTGTGTCAAAGCGCAAACGCAGAGCCTTATAACTTGTTTGTTCCTGAACAGCTATAGTATTTCAAGATGGCGCATGACTATGGAATATCAACCACAGCTCATAAATAATAATGTAAAATTTTAAGCTAATAGGAATATCTAGAAAAGACGTTAGTGAGAAGTGTTAATGAAAAAAGACACGTTAGTGACTCTGATGCAGAGAATATGATAATAAACAAGGGAAAATGTTACACTGGCTGTGCCTCTTATCACTGAGGAGGTCTCCACACCTTTAGATATTTACTGTCTTCATATGTTAATTATTTACTTTAATATTTTATTTAGCGTGGATCAGTGCCGATCAGCTGATCGCTGCCTGTTTCCTCCTGCAGCGGCGTCATCGTCCTGAACTCCTCGCTGAGCTTCGAGCTGCAGCCGCAACTGCAGGAGGAGGACCATCATCGCTCCAGCCCTCAGCAGGAGGAGGACAGTCTAGGAGGTGGGAGTGGAGGAGGAGGTGATGAAGTCCACCTGTTGTTCCCCACCGTCCCTCTGGAGGACAGCGCTGCTGGAGGCTGTGGAGTGTCTCATTCTTTCCCCCCCCTCACCTACAACCACACACACACACAGCGGGTGAGACTAACACGCTTCTGAAGAACAACAGAATTATTTATTCAGCATCAGTAAAAAAAAACAAAAAAAACATGACAAACAAAAGGACCTCCACGGGTTGGCTCTGGTACCAGAGCAGAATCAGGAGGTTCTGTTCAGGAACATTCCTGTGTTTGACTCCTCATTGAACACGAGGATCAGGATTATGGGATGTGAACACGAAACCTCTTGTTCTGATTGGTCTGGTTCTGTTGTGTCTGCAGAAGAAGAGGGACATCCTGTCTGAGACCAAGTTCATCGAGCTGGTTCTGGTGGCCGACCACCAGGAGGTCTGTGGTAAACGTTTGTAACCAACATGCAGCTCAGGAAGACATTCGGGATCCTGATGTTCTTATCTGCTCCATAGTTTCTGAACTACCAGAGGAGCAACAAAACCATCATCTACCGCCTGCTGGATGTGGCCAACCAGGTGGACTGGGTGAGACTTCCTGTTCCTCTGGGTTCCTGTTGATGCTGCAGTAGAACCAAACCACTTCCTCTTCCTGTTTCAGTTCTACCGTCCTCTGAACGTCCGGGTGGCGCTGACCGGTGTGGAGATCTGGAGTGACCGCGATAAGATCCGGGTGGAGAAAAGTCCAACCGACACGTTGAACAACTTCCTGGACTGGAGAACCAGAGACCTGCTCCCTCGTCTTCGTCATGACAACGCCCAGCTCATCATGTAAACGTTCTGACCCAGAATATGCTTCTTCTGAAGGTTTCGAATGGTTCTGGTTCTGATGGTTCTGGGTTTGTTTTTACCTTCACAGGGGCGAGTCTTTTGATGGGACCACGGTGGGAATGGCATCTCAGTCGTCCATGTGCTCCAGAGACCGGTCGGGCGGGGTCAGCGTGGTGCGTTTGTCTTTAGATGTGATTCTGGTGACCAGAGTCACCTGCTGCGTGTGAGCGGGCAGGAGGAAGTCATGTGATTACCTCAGCCAATCAGAGAGCTTCCGTGTGTCAGGTCTGAGGTGTTCACTCGTTCACCACCTGGTTTAGTTTGGTTGCATTATCATTTTATTATGTCCTAACCGACGCGGGACATCATTTTTCACAGCTTTAATAAAAAATGTTGGGACAAACACAACAGAGCATCGTTTATTTACTGACCTGACTCAAAATATTTGTTATTTAAGCTTCTAGTCAGAGTTCCTGTTGATGAAAACACTCAGAAACATGTTTCCATGACAGGAAGCAGCAGAAAGGCAAACCGTAGAATCTGGAGCCAAAAGGATCAGATTTATCTCGTTCACATCCCAGAAAGACTTTAGTTCCTCACAACTCCGAGGAGCTTCTACCAAGAAGTAAACCTGCTGTTTACATCTCATTTCTCTCTCAGGATCACCTGGTCAGTGTTTTGGGCGTGGCCTCTACTGTTGCTCATGAGCTCGGTCACAACCTGGGGATGAGACACGACACCACTGAGCGCTCCTGCTCCTGCCAGAACGAGCCACGCCTCGGGGGCTGCATCATGGAGCCATCGACTGGGTGAGAACCTGATCTGGACTCTAAACTGCTCCTCTCAGTCTGTAAATGTTTATGGAGTAGAAGGCTGCTCAGTCACAAGCTTAAACGGTCTCCTGTGCTGTGGCTCACCTGTGACCTCTGACCCCAGGTTCATGCCCGGTCAGCTGTTCAGCAGCTGCAGCTCTGCAGATCTGTCTGTTAGCCTGCTGCACGGCGGCGGCATGTGTCTGTTCAATGTGCCGCAGCCCGACCGCCTTATGGGAGGACCTCGCTGTGGAAACTTGTACGTGGAGAAAGGAGAGGAGTGTGACTGCGGCCTGCTGGAGGTACACACCTGTCTGTCTGCTCACCCGTCTGTCTGATATCACCTGAGTGTGTTTATAACCTCTGTCATGTCATCAGAGCTGAACTGGAATAAAAACAACAACCTGCAACAATTTAGCAGCTTGAATCGTTGTTTTAAGTAACTTGGTGATGTCAGGGTGATCCTGTTGACGTGTTGCTGTGCTCTGGTTGGTCAGGAGTGTGAGGACCCGTGCTGTAATGCTTCCACCTGTCAGCTGGTTCCTGGAGCTCAATGTTCATCCGACGGTATCTGTTGTCAGGACTGTAAGGTTGGTTGTCCTAGATGTCCCAGAGCCGTCCCGTCCTTGCCACCAGTCAGACGTAAATCTCCTTTTTCTTGGTCTCAGGTGCGGGCGGCTGGTTTGGTGTGCCGTGAACCACTCGGAGATTGTGACTTACCTGAATACTGCACAGGCTCCTCCCCCTACTGCCCCCCCAACGTCTTCCAGCAGAACGGCGAGCCCTGCGAGGATGGAGCCTCCTACTGCTACGAAGGAATCTGCACCAACATGGACACACAGTGCCAGATGCTGTGGGGGCCAAGTAAGAAAACGTAGCCATAACCAGTTTGAATTGGGTGTATACTGGGATAAATGTTGTTCATGCTGAGTTTTTACCGGTTCTGTTTGCTGATCAGATCTAAAGTACAGTTTGTGTTTTCAGACGCCACCAGCGCTCCAGCTGTGTGTTTCTCATCCGTCAACAAACAAGGAAACAAATATGGAAACTGTGGTCAGCTGACCAACGGCTCTTACATCCCCTGTGGAAACTCGTAAGTCATCTTTACTGTCTTCAGCCTACAAATCCCAGGATGCCTCTGTGTGTGACCCTCAGCCTGTGGTCTGATCTATTTGGCCGTGTTCGAGATGAGCCAGTTCTGCGCAGATTAGATCAGCGGTGATCGGCGAGCAGTGCGTGCCGGTTAGATTTGTGTCCGACTTGACGTCGACTTGCTCTGACGTCATGCCTACGTAGGCAACGATATCCTCATGAGATCATGGCAGCCGCAGATTTTGGAGCAAGGTGCTGCAGTTGCTCTCACCGGCAGCAAAACCTAGGGGATGACGGGAAACGCCTGGCTCTCACCTGATCTAAAAACTGATTGGTTCACATTCTGATCCAAACATCTGGTGGTAGAACATGAAATGTTAGTTGGTCACATGTATTCTGTAAATCATGTTACGTTGATGATGACGACTATATAGGCCATAAAGAGAAATGTGTTTGTGTTCTTTTCTCACGTTTCCTATGAGCACACTAAACCTACAGCTGATAACCTTTACTTATTATTACAGTCATGTCTTCATAGACAATATATGATATCCACAAGCACGTGAGGATGTGTTTCGGTTGCTAACAGGCACCAAAATTAAAATTATAAATAAAACAAGTATGAACTCTTAACGCAATGTCTTCATCCATCGTCACCCGTGAGCTACACATGTAGGGAAATCTGTCCGACATAAACACCGGCTTTTAGCCACTCCCACTGCTGCGTCCGTCTGCTCTCGTCTGTTTTCCAGGCAAGGTGCTGCTCAACTCGAACACGGCCTTTATCTGTCCTCTGTTTGTTTTTGTTTCAGGGACGTTTTCTGTGGGAGGATTCAGTGTCAAGGGGGAACAGAGCGCCCCCTGCTGGGCAGCATTGCTCAGATTCTCACCGTTCGCTTCAATAACAGCGACCTGGTCTGCAGAGGGACCTTCTTTCACCTGGACGATGACGTGTCTGACCCAGCCACTGTGGCCCAGGGCACTGCCTGTGGCCCCGGCAAGGTCAGACAGAGACTTCCTGCTAGTGATTGTGTCCAAGGTCTCATAGAGGAGGTCTGATTGGGCCTGGTTCTGTCTCTGCAGGCTTGTTTGAATCGAAAATGTCAGGATGCGTCCGTGTTCGGAGTGGATGAATGTCGCAGGAAGTGCAATGGTCACGGGGTGAGTAAGAACCAGGCTCCACGCGTCTGATAGAAGAATGAAAAAAGGATGTCATCCGAGAGAGAAAATGAGAGAAAATCGACTGAATATATCTGTGTTTATGGTGTTTTTTTTTATTCTATTACTGTTCCATTTGTCATTCCTCAGTTTTATAAATTTTACAAACTATTTGTTTTTGAGGTTTTTTAATAGGAATAAATTTTTTGGTTGTTTTTGTTAAAGGGGCATTATGGAAGTTTGACAGCCAAAACATGTATAGAAATAATAAATTTCTTCTTCATACATTCTCCTGCAATGCCCTGGTCCTGTAGAATGAGCCCAGGCACTTTTACTGTGATTGCCTGTTTTTCTGTAAAATCACAGAAAAAGAGAGTTGAGCTGAGCTGCTCGGGTCGAGCAGGCTGCTTCGTGCGCGTTCACGCTCAGGCATAGCCCGTAGCATTTGCTATCCGTAGCTTTAGCAGCAGAGAGAGAGGCAGTGCCAACTCAGCGACTTTGTCGCTGTTCCGAACGCCTAGTAATGAACCTAGCTACATTTCTGAGGACCCTTAGCTACTTTTTTCTAGATATTTCCTGCAAATTAGCAATAAAATAGCCATTTTCGCTCCGAACCGTTCTTTGAACATTGTTTCAGCTGTCATCAAGGATATAAATGTTACAGATACAAAAGACATCACTGGTGCTTTAGCTCATCTAGTAAGACGTCGGACTCCCGTGCAGAAGTTCTGGTTCGATTCTGGATGTGAACATAGTTTATTTAGAGTTTATTTTTTACATTAATGTTATATTTTTTTTACAGTAAGATGCCCAAATTTTTATTTGAGACTCGCCGAACGGCATTGAATTCACAGATAAAAAAGATGTGGGTTCAACTTTCATTTTGGAACAATTTTTCAAGCAAGGGAAGGGAATGATCTGAGCATGCAGGAGGACTGACCCATCTTAAACGTTTGTCGGCTGTGCTGAAGAGAAAAGGTACAGAACCAAATTATTTAATTAATTAGCTGCACGTTCTCCTGTCCTCTCTCCTCCGGGCCACACACACACACACACACATACACACACACACACACGGGACTGTCTCAGCTGTTATTTTCGTTAAGGAGTGTGCACGTACAGCATGTGCGCCTCGTGCACGAGCCTCTTATTGAAGCTGCCATTACGCTTTTGGCCTGAGGGGGCAATCGCGAGCATAAAAATTCAAAACTCAGTAAAGTCCCTTTAAACAAATAGAAATAATCAAAGAACGACCTTCAGAAACCTTTTTAATTAATTCACCGCCAGCCGTTTCCTGATCGCTAACGGCCTTTGCTGCCAGCGTTTCTCACCGTTTTTACAGTTTTTTTAAGAGTCCCAGAACGTTGCGCACTAGGATGATGTCGACGCCAAAACAACCAAATCAAAAAGGAGACTCACCTCTTACATCAGGAAGAATCCGTGTGTTTCGAGCGTTATCCGTTCTTTCATAATCCGTTGTCGAATTGTGATCGGCAGACGCTTTTCCGGTTTGCGCCTCCATTTTTTTTACAGGAACGGCCCAAAACGATCTCCGAACACATGGATGTTCTGCTTCCTGATCACATGACGTGTGACGTCTGTGAATGAAGATCGGCTTCAGGGCTGAGATGTTTGTTCTCTCAGCGCAGAGGCTCGTTCCGATGCTCAAACAGTAAAAAAATGCAAATGACGACTTTAGTCGTCATTGGCAGTGAATGAGTTAATGCAATAAAGCAGAACAGCAGTGTTGTGTTGTTTTTGTGTTGCAGGTGTGTAACAGTAATAAGAACTGTCACTGTGAAGTGGGCTGGGCTCCACCTGACTGCAGGTACTCGGGTCATGGAGGCAGCGTGGACAGCGGCCCGACCAGAGCAGCTGGAGGTGCTTCACCCTGAAAACCACAGAAGAACAACATCAGCTCCTGTGTCTCGGCGTGTAACCCTCCTGTTTCTGTGTTCAGAGTCGGATCCTGTCCGAGTCGCCCTGCTAGTCATCTTCTTCTTCATCCTGCCTGTTGTCCTTCTCTTCCTCGCTCTCCGATTCCCTCGTTTCCGACGGGCGGTCTGCTGTCTGGGACCCAACAGCCCGTTCCACAAAGTTCGACAGCACAACCGGTAATGCCAACACGGGCGGTTTGAATTGCTGACTCCAGCAGATCAGATCAGCTCTCTATAAGCAGAAACTGTTTTCTTACCCACAATGCAGTGTGACTGACTGTGAGATGTGGGGTTTGGAGTTTGAACCCGCCCACGTCTCCAGGTACTGCTGGACCTGCTGGTCCCGGTCTGTAGTCTGTCCCTGTAGAGTCAGAGAGGTGAAGTTCTGCTCTTTATTTTGTATTTTCAGTTCAAAAAACAACAAAACAAAATTCTACTGTGGGCGTGGCCTCCTTCACCGCTCAGACTGACCAGTCCCACAGTTAAACCACTTAAAGCTGCACTGACCTGGATTAGTTCCAAACACAAACCAAGCCGCCTTCATCAGCACAAATGAGACCAGGCAGAGAGGCTTCTGGGTAGTTTTAGTGCAGCTTCAAGTTCATCAACTAAAGACTGATCTGTTCTAAAGTGTTTGTGTCAGTAGTCAGGTGTGTGTGTGTGGGCGTGTGTGTGTGTGTTTGTTGAAATTTAAACAATGATACTTCCTTCATCTAGAACTCCGGTGATGGAGCGAGTCGACGGCAGGAACGGGGAGCAGGTCCGACCTCTTAGATACCACTTGAACCCTCAGCCTGACATCCCACTGGCTCCGCCCCAAAAAGAGGTAACTCTTGTTCAGTGTTGGGAGTAACGCTGTTTAAGTATAACGGCGTTTCTAACTGCGTTATTTTATAGGTAACGGAATAATCTAATTAATTACTTTTCCCACTGTTGCAACGCCGTTACCGTTACTGGGGACGGAAGGTTGTGCGTTACTATGTGCTTGTCGAACGTTGAGCAACAGGCTTTCTGACCGCCACACTTCAGCTGCAGCCAGGGAGAGAGAGGTGTCGGCGCGCTAGGATGATGTCGACGCCAAAACAACCAAAACAAAGTGGAGACTCACCTCTCACATCAGGAAGAATCTGTGTGTTTCGAGCGTTATCCGTTCTTTCATAATCCGTTGTTGAATTGTGATCGGCAGAAGCTTTTCCGGTTCGCGCCTCACTTTTTTTTACAGCAGCGGCCCACGTCAAAACGATCGTTTCTGTTACTGATAAGGAAATGCGTGCGTTAAGCAGCGCGGTGTGTTGAAGCTGTCATCAGCTGATCAGGAGCTAAAGAGGCAGATGTTTTCATCCAAGAGCATCATGGCCCGTGAAGAACGAGGAAGACATGATGAATAGTCTACGGCTGCAGACCCCCCACAGATTCGCTGCTGCAGGTGGGAATCTGCAGCAGCGAATCTGCGGGTCTACAGCCGTGCCCTTCTTGGCGTGACAGCGGGACGTCCCGAAGGTCCGCTTACCTGTTCACCGCTCAGACGTCCTGATCTTCTACCTTCCTAGATCATCCAGCTGTAACCTGTTCCTGATCATGTCTTTAGCCCCGCTGCAACACTGATGCATCATTCTCAGACGTCATGGAGCTCAGGTGTTATCAGAACTACCTGTGTGTGTTTACCACCCAGCTTCAGCTCTTCTGTGGTTGGGTCTGACCCATGTTAGTACATTTAAGTCCTCCATCAGATTTGTGCCTCTTCTAGTGTAATTTTAAAGGATTTTATTTATTTATTTAACCATTACTAGATTAGCAGCAACAGAAATGCTGCTAAAAACACACAATTATGTGAATCTGGAAAAATTAGAATACTGTGCAAAATTACATTTATTTCTGTAATTTAACTAGACCGAGATACCATTTAAAGGCTCGGGAAGCTTTACAGGTGTTTCTATTTGCAATTTTAAATTTTAGCTGATTGGGGTCTTGTTAAATATCACACAGTGACCTTTTAATAGTCTAGATTAGTGTAATGTTCCTATTAGTAGTTCCTCCTGTTAAGTGCTTATTTATTGAAATTATTCAGGTTTATATAAAACATTTGGACATACATTTTATTATGTTCCAGTCAATAGTCATTTATATTTCACTATTGTAGTAATTCTTGCATTCTTTAATGAAAAAAGTAACTAACTAGTTATTTTTGTTGGTAATTAGCTACTTTTATGATCTTGTAACTCAGTTAGTAACTGAGTTACTTTTTTGACAAAGTAATCAGTAACTATAACTAATTACTTTTTTAAAGTAACGTTCCCAACACTGCTGTTGTTTAAAAAATATAGATACTAATAATATGTTGTTTGTTTATTTACAAGTGCATTTCAAGGAACACAAAGACATCCTACAGAATTGAAAACAAGCAAAGAAGAAATTGAGTTAAAAACAGGAAAATATAATTAATTATTGATCAGTTATAAAATTATTCCCACAAGAAACAGATGAGCTGACAGCACTCTCAGTGAGAGATAAGAAAGCTGTGAGCAACACTGCTCACGGCCATCTTTGTTTACTAATTTAAGTAAAACAACATAGACTTCTGTGCCTGTCATTAGCCCCGCCCATGTGTTTGGAGACATCTGCGTTCCTGAGAAGGCCGTGTGAACGGAACCTGGCCATGCGGGTCATGTGGCATTATTTCATTCTGAAGCTTTTTCATGACCCCATCAGTGGGAAAAATATATATTTTCCTAATTCCTGTAAAAATTACTTTGTTAAGATCTGTTCTGAACTTTGCAAAACTTTCTATTTCCTCTAAAATTATAAAGTTGAAACTAACCTCCAGGAAAACGCAGCAGCTGGAAGTGGAAGTGTATAGGTTTAGGTCTGACATGATGTTTATTTTTTTATTTTTTCTCTCTTAATTAAAAAAAAAATAAAACAATACGTATAGTAATTTCCAACTTCGTTCAGACTAAAATTTGTCCTGACAACAAGACGATGTTTGAAGAGGAAATCTGAGTTAAACCTCTGAGTTACTTCATATTCCAGGTGAAGTGAAGCATTTTTACTTCCTGTTGGTTCTGGCTTTAACACCCCTGCTGCTTCTGCTTCCTGTTTTCTCTCCTATCAGGTTCATGACAGACCTGCTCCTCCCACTAAGCCCCTCCCCCCTGACCCCGCCCTAAACCCCTCACCGCAGGTAACTTCACCTGAACCTGTTCTCGTGTGTGTTAGTGTGCTTCAGGTGTTGGTCGTTGGTCTCTTGTTGTTGTTGTTGTTGTCGTTTGTGTTTGTTGTCGTCCCAGTCCAGACGAGTTTGTGCTTGCTTCCAAAAATGAAAGAAAATCTTTAGAAATGATCATTTAAAATCTTTGGAAACTGAATTTCTTTCCTACAAATAAACTTCAGTAAAAGTTTCCAAATTCTATGATTGTAGAACTCGGCAGCGTGCTGATCAGAAAACCAACAAATCAGAACCTCTTGATTCATTCTGTTTTTTTGTTTATTTTCTGATGCATCAAGTCAGGTTTTTAATCCAGATGTTTGGCTCTTGTCCCACTCTGATCCAACTCAGAACACTTCCTCTTAATCTGATTGTTAGCATGAATTAGCATTTAGCAAAGAAGCTTGCATGAACCAGGCAGTGGTGTGTTCACGGACCAAATAAACCTCTGATTTGTGGGTTTCAGTCATGCTGAATTTTGGCCAGATGATTTTTGATGCACTTCTAGTTTTTATTGTATTACTTCTAACTTTAACTTAAACATTAAAAAAAAAGTAAAAATACGCAGAGGGACGATCATTATCAGTTAGAATAACATAAAATCCAACCCTCCAGAGCCCTCATTTATCAACCATACTTACGAACAGATCAGTGCGTATTTCGTGAGTAGGACCGATTTTACACATTGTGTAGTATTTACTAGGGATGCACCGATCAGGTTTTTTGCTGCCGATCACCGATACCGATATCAAAGAATGCTGATCACCGATACCGATCACGTGGATTGGCCAGAAATTTTCTACAACATTATAATGAGTGCTACAAACTACATAATCTGGGAATAAAGGAAATGTAACCTAATCTAAAATGGTCTGTATTAGGGTTGTCACGGTGTGAAAATTTAACCTCGTGGTTATTGTGACCAAAATTACCACGGTTTTCGGTATTATCGCTGTATTTTTTTTAAACGTGCTACATTTTCACACAATTAAATAAACCCTGTATGTCAGGAAATATTGTCCTCAGTTTGTGCCTAAATTTTGCCTAAAATGTGTTATTTTGTAATTATGTTGTTTATTTGTTTACATTTTTTCCCTTTAGTCTTTAAAATACTAATATTTGCCCATAACTTCTTATTTTATGTCTGTTTGATGTCATCATTTAAAAATATTAGATCAGATGATACTCAGTACTCAAGTAGCCTTCTAATCAGATACTTTTTTACCCTTACTTGAGTAATAAACCCTATATCAGGAAAATATTGTCCTCGGTTTGTGTCCTTCCAGTGAGCTTTGCAGATGTGGGAAAATGTCATCAGGCAGTAATCATTGTTTAATTCATAATTACTTTCGGAGAGAGACCAACTCCTTTCTGCCCCTGGGAGCCCCTTAATGCATAGCGTCATTTCAATATGGGGGTCTCCGTGACACGTTTTATATGCAGGTAGCGGGCGCTGCGGCTGCTTTATATAGCAACTCGTTGCATTCTCCTTCAACCCAAATCCTCGGATCACGCATTTTAGCTAAAACGCTAACGTTAGCTTGCCTTGCGTTGACTGTAGAGTTGTGGGTGATGGTCACGCAGATGTGTCATGAGATTGGAAGCGTTGCTGCCTTTCACAAACACTTTTTCTGCTCGTGCTGCAAACAGGATAGCCGTCTTCTATCAGCTGTCCCTCGGCATTCTTCAAATATCCAAAAAATGCCCGTACTTCCCACTTTGTCTTCTTTGAGGGATAATAAATGTCCTCCTGAGCGCTGCCATCTCCTCCTTTGGCCATTATTTCAGCTTTAGCTTCAAGAAAGTTTTGGTTGTAAACATCAAAGCGCGCATGTACCGCCGGCAACTTCAGCAGATGATACGGTGGCTGGTAAGGGTCACCGCGCCTACACTGCAGCCACGGTAATCCACCGAGATAATATATGTTTTAAAAAAACAAGACGGTTATTATTGTTTTGTTAAAAAAGAAAAAAAAATTTTTTTATATATGTATGCTTTTAAAGTCTAATAAAATAAGATAAATGGGGAAGTAATGTTTGCTTAAATGTAAATTAGTTGGAAACAATTATAGTGGAACTGTGTTTGGCAGTGGTAGGATCAGGACTATAAAAGGTGATGCACCAGCCGACGCCCAGTTTTAGTAATCAGACAATCACAGGTACCAAACCTTGGTCCATGTGAAGTACTTTTGCTTATGTGGCAAGCCTGTGTGGAGCTGGCAGAGTCTTGATTCAAGCAGCAGGAAGGCAGCTGGTAAGAGAGAAACTTAAGAAACTTTATTGCTGGAGTTGTTTTCTGGTTGGCTGTAGCTTAGCCACCGGCCTACTAGCATGGTGATGTGGCATGGCCATATTGTTTGACATCAATAGTCATCACTGCAAAGCACTGTGTTTTAAGACTTTGTTAGCAACATTTGATAGACTTTGTCATCTGCTTTTGTAAATTTTAGATGGATTGAGCTAAAAGTTTAAAACCATTGATTAGTTTAAAAAATAAATAAACATGTTTAAGATATTTGCACTGCATGGATTAGAGAAACATTTGACTATTTAAATAGTTACAATAAAAAACAATGATCTTGAAGTGATGTACTATTTTGTTGGTTCTCAGTTAAGTATTTGTGCAATTTGAATTTAGTAAAATGTATAGTATGGGTTTGTCGTAACCATTTGCATTTACATGTTTCTTGTTTGAATTGTTTGAGGTTTTTACCTGCACAAGACCAACCACAATCCTAAGCCTTCTACAAACAACAAAATAAAATGAAGACGACAAGGAATAATTGTGTGGTCCTTGAGTAAAGCCCAGTCATATAAAGCTGCAAAGACTCTGCCATCCCTTTCAAGCGGGGATTCTACACAAGTTAAGGCAAGACTTGACAGTAAAAACCAGTAGTAAAAACCAGTTAAACACCGGAGTAAAATCCAGCTTGTAACTGGTGGGGAAAACTCACTGCAGATTCAGCATCGAGATGGATAGAAAACCAGCCAAAAAGTCTGTTAAACAACTAAAAGCGGAAAGGACATCAGCAAAAAGATCCTTCACCCGTCTAGCTAACAACATAACCAGACAGCTTCGGGACATGTCCGAGGAAGAGCTTAAGGAGAATTTTAATAAAATTTCCCTAGAAGCTGAAAAAGTTATGACTGCAAACGACGAGGTTGGTGCTGGACTTCTTGCAGAAACAGAAGATGGACTGGATGAAGAAGAACCTGAATTAACCTCTGATCAACAAGCAGACCTAGATGAAGCGACAAAAGACTGTGAGGAAAGACTGAAGCAGGTCAAAACATCCATCCAAGAAACTTTGTGGAGGATGTATGGAAAAGCTGAACTAGGAACTGAAATCCAAGTAGCAGAGGACCAAAGTACATATGCTACCACCATAAAGCCCGAGGCGGGGAAGGCTGCATATGATTTCATCCTCAGTCACTTACAAATGCTTTTGAAATCTGCAAAGGAAGCATATTCTCGATGGAGACAATGGATCCCTCGTGATGTTCAAGAGGAGCTTTAGATACGATTAAGAGACCTGGACCTCATACTCCCAAAATTGGTTTCCCGAACTGCAGAATTTATTCAAATGGAATTAAAGGATGATGAAGGAAAAGATGGTCAAATGATGAATTTTCCAAATCAACCTCTGCAAATCATCAGATTAAAACCAACGTCTCTCCCCAAGTTCACAGGAAATAAACGTGACTTCTGTCGATGGAGGAAGGACTGGGAGGCACTGCAAAAACAAGGAGAACCAACAGGTTCAAAAGAAGTAAAGAAAGCACAACTACTTGATAGCATTAGTGAAAAACTTTCTAAGGACCTGCGTCTCAATTCCTACAATACATCTGATGATATTTTCCGTGTCCTTGAGAACCGGTTTGGGAACCGGACAGCCATCACCATTGAAATAGTTGAGGAGCTACAGAGAATCCCTGCAGTGAGAGGTCACCAACCAAGACGCATCGTTGAGTTAATCCAGGCTGTAGAGAAGGCACTTGAAGATCTGAGTGACCTTGGGGACACTGGAGCAATAAAAAAACCCTCTTGTGACCAAATCGATAGAAACAAAACTTCCAGAAAGTCTGAAAAAGGAATGGCTTGTTTATGCAGCTGACAAAAAGAACTCTGTAGCATCGGCAAATCGATTCGACAACCTGTTGGCATTTCTGAAAAAACAAGAGGACATCTATGAGCAACTAGAACAACTCGAACAATTAAAGGAAGAGGAGCCAAGTAGAAAAGGAGTCAGGTCAGAACCAAGACTTGCCAGGACAAAGTCAGCTGCATCGGAAGGCGACTCCGTTGGTTGCGTTGTTTGTGGAGATCCAAAACATAAACGAAGACTTTACTTCTGTAAGAAATTCCGAACACTAACGCTAGCGCAGAAGAAGGATGCTTTGAGGAAAACTGGAGCATGCATGAAATGTATGGAGGTTCATGACAAAAGACAGTACTGCAAACCAACCTACTTGTGCCGAAATCAAAGCTGTAAAGGTGAAGAAAATCCTGATCACCATTATTATCTGTGTCCACATGCTGAAAGGAGTAATTCAACTCAAAGAAAAAACAGATTTGTAGCAGAAGAAAGCGATTCCATGAGAAAGTATACTGAAGACCAGGAAGAATTTCTCAGGAGACTTTCACCTGAATTAGCAGAACACTGTAAACATGTGTTTACTAATGCTATTACTAAAACTTGTGGAATTCGGAAGGCTAAAAAAGATCAGTCTAATCTCTTAATGGGAAGTGGACTTGAGGAGGCACCAGTGCTCATGATGATTCTGGAAGTGACCGCAAATTATGGGCAAAAGATTGGAACGCTGATTGATTTAGCCTCTGATACCAATTATATCACCCATAAAGCGGCAAGAAAATTAAACCTCTGCAGTGAGGAAATTGCACTTGTGGTGCACGGAGTGGGCGGCATGAAAATCCATGTCAAGACTAGACGCTACCTCCTAAAAATTCGTGTAATG